GTGCAGTGGCTCACACCTGTAATCCCAGCACTTTGGGAAGCCGAGGCCAGCAGATCACGAGGTCAAGAGTTCAAGACCAGCCTGGCCAATGCGGTGAAACCCCATCTCTACTAAAAATGCAAAGATTAGCTGGGTGTGGTAGCTTGAGCCTGTAATACCAGCTACCCAGAAGCCTGAGGCAGGAGAATCGCTTGAACTGGGGAGGCAAAGGTTGCAATGAGCTGCCATCAAGCCACTGCACTCTAGTCTGAGACAGAGCTAGATGCAATTTCAAAAAAAAAAAAAAAAAAAAAAAAAAAAATCACCCAGCATGGTGACACACACTCTTAGTCCCAGATATTTAGGAGGCTGAAGTGGAAGGACCACTGGAGCCTGGGAGTTTGAGGCAGAAGTAAGTCATGATCATGCCACTGCACTCTAGCCCGAGTGACAGAGTGAGACCCTGTCTCAGAAAATAATAAATAAATAAAACCTTAGGAAATGAACACACTATAATGAAGTGACTGAATACAACTGCCATCCATCCATCCAACAAAGGCTTCTTGACTTCCCATTCATCTGTAGGGTCTCCTTTGTCTGATCTGGAAGGACTTCTCTGTCTGCTTTACCATATGTGTTATAGCTTAACACTAGGCATCAGCTAACGCCCAGATATAACTGGCTCGTTGTCAGCCCTAACACAGGCGACCAGTGCAGTGAGCCCTAAGTGAGCCCTATTGAACACAGTGGTCAGTAGTTAAGCATCAGCAACTCTAAGTGCTGAGTTGCCTCGTTAGCCTTGTTAGGTGTCTGGGTGGGGAAAAAAGAAAGGAGGGGAGAGTGGAGAGGTGAGGGGGACAGATGAAGGGGAGATAATACCTGGAAAGACCCAAGTGCATTCCGTGGTGACCCCTGGCTTGTAAGTAAGCCCACCTCCTCACCTCCTCCTGCCTGCGTGGCCTGCATTCCAGCCATGCCAGGATCCCTCATAGTTCCTCAGGGTCACCCAAGGGTGCTTCCAGGCCTCTGTGCTTTTACCCATGCTGCTTCCTCTCTATGCAAATTGCCCGTGTATTTTACCATCTGATTTTTTTTTTTTTTTTTGAGACAGAGTCTCGCTCTGTCACCCAGTCTGGAATACCGTGGCACGATCTTGGCTCACTGCAACCTCCGCCTCCCACATTCAAACGATTCTCCTGCCTCAGCCTCCCGAGTAGCTGGGATTATAGGCACACCACCATGCCTGGCTAATTTTTGTATTTTTAGTAGAGACGGGGTTTCACCATGTTGGCGAGGCTGGTCTGGAACTCCTGACCTCGGGTGATCCGCCTGCCCTGGCCTCCCAAAGGGCTGCGATTATAGGTGTGAGCCACCGCACCTGGCCACCATGCACCATGCTATATATTTTATTCATTTTAAAACTTTTTTTTTTTTTTTTTTTTTTTTTTGCACATGAAGCACCAAACACTTTCATGTGCGAGGACTCTGAGCCCTGCAGGTGCTATTTTCTATGAAATAGGATCTCTTCACTACCCTCACTACAGTAGCAAGAAAATCTCAACATGCTACTTTGTCTTTATTTTCTTTTTTTTTTTAATTTTACTTTAAGTTCTGGGGTACATATGCAGATGTTGCAGGATTGTTACATAGGTATACACATGCCACGGTGGTTTGCTGCCTCCATCCCCCCGTCACCTACATGAGGTATTCCTCCCCAATCTCCCCACCCCCTGCTATCCTTCCCCTAGACCCCCACTCTCCCAACAAACCCCAGTGTCTAAAAGGGATCTGCAGCCTTTATCAGCCTGTCACAAGAAAGGTGAAGAGCTGAGACAGGTGAAGAACTTCACACCAACCATCTCAGGCCAGCAATCAGAATGGTCGGCCCACGCAGCAGGCACAGCACCAAGCACAGTTTACGGCAGGGTCCCCTCGCCACTCCCACCTGAGGCAAGGAGGCAGCCGGCCACCACGAGGCCATGTGTTCAGCTGTGCTTCCTCCTACTCTCACTTTTTTCTCCTTTGTCTATTTTTAAATTATTGGAGTTTTTCTTGAATAAAAATCAAAATAATAAAAACAGGTGTAAACTGAGAAGTCCCACTTCCATGTCATGCCTCATGCCTCCTACTGGTAAATTTATGTCATCTTTCCACTGTGTCCTTGCACAAATATATATTCTTATTGCCATCCTCTTTCTTTTCTTTTCTTCTTCTTTTTTTTTTTTTTTTCAGACAGGATTTTGCTCTATCGCCCAGGCTGGAATGCAGTGGCTTAATCACAGCTCATTGCAGCCTCAACTTCCTGGGCTCAAGTGATCCTCCTGCCCCAGCCTCCTGAGTGCCTGGGACCACAAGTGTGCACCACCATACCCCGCTAATGTTTTTAAAAACCTTTTTTGCAGAGATAGGGTCTAGCTATGTTGCCCAGGCTGGTCTTGAACTCCTGGGCTTAAGCAATCCTCCCACCTTGGCCTTCCAAAGTTGTGGGATCACAGGCATGAGCCACTGCTCCTGACCATCCCCTTTCTTAGGTATGTGGAATGCCATATGAACCTTCAGTGTCTTCCGGTTTCTCACTTAGCAATAAATCGGGAAATATTTCCACATCCCAGTGCACCTCATTCTGTTTTACGGGGGCTCAGAACCCCACCGTGTGGGTAGACCACAACTTATTCCCTCGATTCCCTTTTGCTGGACACTGGGTGGCCGCCTATCATTTGCTATTGTAAAGCAATGCTGCAAAGAGAAACGTACCCATGCCATTTCATACACATGCAGAAGTATCCGTGGGAGAGATTCCCGAAGTGACACTGCATCGTCAAAGCGTCAGTTCTTCGGTGATTTTTAGAAAACATTACCAATTTCCTCGCCAGGAGGACTGAATCACTTTATGCTCTCTGGCAATGTGGGAGAGTGTCTGTCTCACAGCAAGGCTCTGAATTACGACCCTTGTCTGTAGCAACAGATGGCAAAGCCCTGGCGAAGCAGACAGGCTGCTCAGAACTTTACCCTGCTTCCTTATTGCAGAAATTAAGAATATTTATTTTATTTTATTTTTATTTATTTATTTTTTTGAGATGGAGTCTGGCTCATCTCCCAGATTGGAAGTGTAGCTGCACAATCTGGGCTCACTGCAACCTCCGCCTCCTGGGTTCAAGTGATTCTCCTGCCTCAGCCTCCCAAGTAGCTGGGATTACAAGCGTGTGCCACCACGCCCAGCTAATTTTTTTGTATTTTAGTAGAGGCAGGGTTTCACCATGCTGGTCAGGATCATCTTGATCTACTGACCTCGTGAAC